GAGATTAAAGAGGAGAAGAAACAAGGAGAGTTCTAAGGGGGTCTCCCGGGAGCCAATGAAGTCTACTCCAGACCGGTCCGAGCCGATCTGATCCAACACATTCTAGTCCGATCCACGTCCTGGTCCTGCAGCTGCTGCTGCTGCTGCTGCTGGTCCCCCTCTATTCATGCAACTGCTCCCTCCCTTCTCCTGTATCCTACTTCCTTCCCCATCGTCATCACCAACATCACCATCACCATCGTCATCCTTATCACCATCAGCAGCAGCATCCTCAACATCGTAATCACCATCGTCAACGTCACCATCACCATCATCACCATGACACTCACCATCGCCATCACCATGATTACCATCACCATCATCACCATCACCGTCACCATCACCACCACAGTAATCACCACCATCTTCATTTTTACCAGCATCATCGGCATCGTCATCATCATTACCACCACCATTATCCTCAGCATCATCATCGTCAGCATAATCATCACCAACCTGATCACCCCACTCGCCAGCATCACCATCATCAACATAATCATTAGCAGCATCGCCACAATCAGCATCATCATAATCAGAAGCAGCATCATCTTCAGCATCATCATCCACAGTATCAACATCACCACCGCCATCACTACCATCACCAATACCATCATCATCACCAGCATCAGCATCATCATCAGCATGAACATGAGCATGAGCATGAACACGAGCGTGAGCATGAGCATCAATCTTATCATCATCAGCATCATCGTCATCATCATCAGCATCATCAGCCGCATTATCATCATATTCATCATCATCATCATCATCAACATCGCCAACATCACTCTTATCACCATTACCATCACCATCACCGTCAACAACACCAGCACCATCACCAACAACAACAGCATCGTCATCATGATCAGCATCATCAGCAGCATCATCACCATCATCATTACCATCAGCATAAGCATCATCATCATCACCATCGCCATCGCCATCTTCATCATTAACATCATCAGCCTGATCGCCATCACCAGCATCATCACAAATAACCTCACCATCACTACCACCATCACCATCACAATCCCCGTCACCATCATCGTCATCATCATCAGCAGCAGCATTGTTATCATCGTCAGCGTCATCGTCATCATCCACATGATCACCATCATTCGCATCATCATCAGCATCGTCATCGTCATCGTCAGCATCATCATCGTCATCATCATCGTCATCATCACCAGTATCATACTCCTCATCCTCCTCATAATCATCATCATCACCATCGCCATCACTCTCACAATCACCATGCTCAGCACCACCAGCATCAGCAACATCGTCACCTGCATCATCACCATCATCATCAACCTCATCATCCTCAACATCATCATCATCATCCTCCTCATCACCCTCGTCGTCGTCGTCATCACCATGATCATAATCATCATAATCAACATCGTCCTCGTTCTCCTCGTCCTCGTCCTCGTCCACGTCCGCGACCGCATTCTCGTCCTCGTCTTTGTCGTTCCCCGTGAACCTCCCCCTCTTCCCTCATCGATCTTCCTCGGGGGTGCATCCTCCTCATCCTCCTTCCTCTTCCTCCTCTTCTACTTGTGTTCCTCCTCAGAGGGCGATGCCTTTCAGACTTTGTACAGTCGAGGCTTAAGCAGTCGTGGTAGCAGGGCGCTAGATCTATAAAGGCCTGGAGGGCTATCTTCAGTGCTCTCGAAATTCAGGGAAGGAACATTACCGATTCGTCCGCTGACCAGATCGCTCTTGGGGGTGCGTCCCGACCAGGAACCACAGGCGAACCCAGCAGCGGCGACAAACCAGACGGGCGAAAACAAACCGCTGCTCCCCAGACCTCCCCTTGGGGTGCGTCCCGACCGGGGTTCCGAGGCGAGTGTGGCCGCGGCGACGGGGGCCAGCCCCCCGACCTAGCACGAAGGGAGCGGGCGATGAAAGCAAAACGGACCTGGATGCCACGACCTTCCCCCTGGGGCCCAGCCTCTCCTCCGGAGTCGCCGTTCGACAGCCGCGGGCCCCGTGGACCGCACGCTCCAGGACCCCGCTCCCTCCTGGCGGCCGAGGCCCACGGCGGGCGAGCGCGGGCGAGGGGCATCGGCACGGGCACGCCCGCTCCCTCCGACAGGGAGCGGCGGCCGCGGGCGCCGCGCCTTGCACGCGAAGGCGTGCACGTGCGGCGCCCCGCAGGTCCGCGTCGGCGCGATGTTGCCCTCGGGCTCTGGCTTGCTGCAGTCGGCGTCCCGCGGCAGCACCTGCAGGAGAGTAACAGAATGCATACAATAATCCAGATGACATACCCAAGTCTTGCGCAGCGCGTGGCCAAAAGATCGGTGTGGACCTTATACTGCGTGATGGTAATGCAAGGAGACATGTTTTCAGCGTGTGTTGCGTGGGGGGGCTCGCGAGCTGCGCGGCTAGCAAGACACCGATCGATGGACAAGGGCTCGATGAAGGTGGTTCGTCAGTTCCCAGGGTCGAAGGGGACGAAAGGCAAAGACTATGGGGAGAAGGCGGATGGTGAGCTTGAAGGATCAATAGGGAGGCCCAGCAACCCTCGAAAGTGGCGATGGTTTCGCAGATCGCAGCCGCCCAAGGGTGGCGAGGTCTAGTCTGAATCTGGGTAGGGCCCCCACGATGCTGGCCCCCCTCAGCAGCCCTCGAAAGTGGCGACACTTTCTCAGATCGCAGCCCCACAGGCCCCCAGGGGTGGCGAGGTCTAGGCCTCCTAGATGGGGACCGAGTAGATGGGGTCGGAGGATCTCGCCGCATCGCCGATACATCGGCAATGCATTGGCGATGCATCGGCCATGCACTGGCAACGTCGGCGATACATCGGCGACGTCGGGGTTGAGATAATTGGGCCCAACATTGAGCCGCATCGCTGATGCATCGCCGATGTACCGGACCGACCCCATCTAAGAGGCCTAGAGTATGGCGACACTGTGTTGGCCCCCGAGCAGCACTCGAACGTGGAGACAGGTTCGCAGATCGTACCCCCCCACGGGCGAGGCCTAGTCTGAGTCTGGATGTGACCCCGCAGTGCTGGCCCCCCTCAGCAGCCATCGAAAGTGGCGATAGTTTCGCAGATCGCAGCTCCCCAGGGTGGTGAGGTCCAATCTAAGCCCGGGCACGACCCCACAGCGCTGGCCCACCCAGCAGCCTTCGAAAGCCACGACAATGCGCAGCACCCCAGGGGCAGCGAGGTCCGAATCAGGGTATGGCGGCACTGTGCTGGCCCCCCCAGCAGCCCTCGAAAGTGGCGACAGTTTCGCAGATCGCAGCCCCCCAGGGGTGGCGAGGTCTAGTCTGAGTCTGGATGTGATCCCGTAGTGCAGGCCCCCCAGCAGCCCACGACAGTGGCGACAGTTTCGCAAATCGCATCTCTCGAAGGAAGGTGAGATCTAATCTGAGTCTGGGTCCGGCGACGCTGTGCTGCATCCCCACCAGCCCTCAAAGTGGCGGCAATTTAGCAAATCACATCCTCCCAAAGAAGGCGAGATCTACTCCCACGAAAGTGGCGACAATTTCGCAGATCGCAGCGCCCCAGGCCAGGTGAGGTCTAATCTAATCCTAGTCTGGATATGGCGACACGGCACTCCAGACAGCCCTCGAAAGTGGCGATAGTTTCGCAGATCGCGCCCCCCCCCCCCCCCGGGGATGGCGAGGTCGAATATGAGCCTGGATTTGGCGACGCTGTGCTGCCCCCCAAGCAGCCCTCGAAAGTGGCGACAATTTCACAGATCGCAGCCCCCCCGGGGGTGGCGAGGTCTAGTCTGGGTCTGGGTAGGGCGACACTGTGCTGCCCGCCCCCCCAGCAGCCCTCGAAAGTGGCGACGGTTTCGCAGACCGCAGCTCCCCCCCCCCCCCCCCCCAGAGAGGGCGAGGTCTAGTCTGAGTCTGGATTTGGCGACATTGTACTTTCCCCCCCCCCCAGCAGCCCTCGAACCTGGCGACAGCTTGGCAGTTCGCGCCCGCAACGGGTGGCGAGGTCGAATCTGAGCCTGGGTGTGGCGACACTGCGCTGGCCACCCCAGCAGCCCTCGAAAGTGGCGACGGTTTCGCAGATCGCAGCCCCCCAGGGATGGCGAGGTCTAATCATTAAGCTCGCAGATGGCAGCCCCCTAGGGATTGCGAGGCCTAGTCTCAGTCTGGGTATGGCGGCACTGTGCTGCCCCCTCACAGTTGCCCTCGAACTTGAAGATAGTTCCGCAGATCGCAGCCCCCCAGGGGCAGCGAGGTCTCATCTGAGAGTGGGTACCCTCCAAACAGCCCTCGAAAGTGGCGACAGTTTCGCAGATCGCAGCCCCCCAGGGGTGGCAATGTCTAATCTGAATTTGGGTATGGCGACGCTGTGCTGGCTTCCCCAGCAGCCCTTGACCGTGGCGACAGTTCCGCAGATCGCAGCCCCCCAGGGATGGCGAGGTCGGAAGCAGGTACGAGAGGAACGAGGCTAGAGGAGAGCTAAAGAGAGAGAGAGAGAGAGAACAAACAACATAACAACAAAGAGGAAGGAGCGAGGCGGGAAGAAGGAGACGCGACCACAGTGCTCTTTTCGACCGAGAACCCAACAACAAAGAGTTGGGACAAAAACTGTCGAAGGTCTCCGCGAATTTCTGGGTTTGGGGCTGGATTCCCCTCACTGTGGCGCAGAGCGCGTTAGGGGGGTTCGGCGCCGACGCAAGTAAGCCGCACGGACCTCCGAGCAGGAACCTCTGCAAGCCGAAAGATCCCTCAGAGGCCCACCCGGAGTCCTCAGGAGGCCACCAGTACCCCTTCAACGCGAACCAGGCTCTGCTCGTCTTTGAGGTCGGCGGAATAGCGTGAGGCTCGTCGGGGGCGCGCAAGCATATACTAGCGATCCATGGGTCTGGCGCGCGGTCGCCAAATCCATGGATCGGGGGAGACGCCCTCCCGAAAATGCGGCCCGTGCCGCCTCGCTCGGCGGCGGAAATCAGCGATTTCCCAGGGGAACGGGGCCCGCCGCTAATCTACGCCCCCTTAGTCCATGTTTGCGATCGCCTTACCTTGAGGGCTCTGGATGGGGCAACAAGCGTCTCCTCCTTTAGTCCACCCGCGGGGGACGTGAGGCGCACGCTGTCGGAACGGGTAGCTGGGGGGTTCTAGGAAAAGGAAGAGGATGACGAGGAGGGGGAGAGGAGGAGGATGAGGAGGACGACGAGGAGGAGAGGGAGGTGAGAGGGGGGGGCGGGATGGGCAAGCAACGTCGGAAGGTCAATCCCCCCCCCGATACAATCCCCCATGTTTTTGGAGTTGACTGCTCCCGAAGCCTGGCAGTACGCGCCGTGGCCGTCCATCCAGCCGTGGTTAATGAATCCTGGGGGGCGCGGCAGCGGCAGCGGCGCGCCTCCGCCGATCCCTGGCCAGGCCGACGCTGGGCCCGGGCTCGACGCACGCGCGCGCAGGAGGGCAGGGCGCGGGCCAAACAGTGCTTCTGCGTCTGTTCTGTTTTTAACAACCTACCAGACCACCCCAACCCAACCCGAAGATCCGAATTGACCCGAATTTCGGGTTGGGGGGGGGTACGGGTTCCATGCGTTTTTTTTCAACGTTCCCCGACCCCCCCACACTGGAGATGGAGGGCAAATTGAAGCCTTCGTGTTGGATTGGGGTGGTTTGGTAGGTGGTGAGTTTTGTTCTCGATGTCCCAGGGCCCGAGCGCGTGGAAACATGACCTCCATGTCGCAGGCACCCGCCAAGACCACGCGCTGCCCACCCTTCCGCCCGGGGGGCGGCGCGGCACGAGCGCGGGAGCGCGCGGCGGAAGCGTGCACCAGGCGCCGAGGGCATTCGGACGGCACTGCTGAAAGGGGCCCCAGGACACACAAATAAGTACACACAAATAAAACTACTCCCCATATTTTCCCATATGTTTGGGGTTTTTGTCCTCCCGCCCACTTCCCATCTTTTCCCATATTTTCTGGGGAATCGAGGATTCATTGTGTCTGTGTGTTTCTTTTCCTCCTGAACTGCTTGCGCGCTCTTTTCACCCTGCTCACGCAACGCCTGGTGCAAAGCTTACTCGACTCGACGCTGATTATCCGATTCTCCCCCTTTCCTGTCTTCAGTCCGCCCGTGCTGCCACAGGAACGCGGTGCACGATTTCGCCAGCACGCCGCTCCGCTCGAGCCACGTCTGAACTTCTGGATTTGTTTGATTCGCGGCCCGCGAGGAGGAGTCCAGAGGGCGGCATGACCGAGGCTGGGGCACAGCGACTGATAATTGGCGCGACACCGCGCAGAGTGCACCTGCCTGAACTTCTGGAGCGCCACTTGGGCGCCCGAGTTATCCGGGGTAACTCGGGCCCGGGGTAACTCGGGTTCGGATTCCCGAAAAAGGAACCCGAGTTAGCCCTGACCCGAGTTACCCCTGATGATTCGGGGCTCTGGACGCCCGAAATATCCGGGGTAACTAGGGTCCGGGGTAACTCGGGTTCGAACTCCCGAAAAACGAACCCGAGTTAACCCTGACCCGAGTTACCCCTGATGATTCGGGGCTCTGCCTGAACTTCTGGAGCGCCACGGCGATATCTTGGATCAACGCTGGACCCCCACCCACCCCCTGGCGGCGCATCCGGCGCCGCCGCCGGTGCGCGCGCGCGCTCCGCGCGCGGATGCGGGAGGCCCGTCGCCGCTCCGAGTGTTCCGAGGCGGACCTCCCACACGTTTCGTGCCGCGGCTCTCCTGCTCGAGCAGGCCCTCCAAGAGTCGGGCGCCCAACGTCTCCGGGATACCTGCGGGTCCGGGGCACCTCTGGCCTGGGCCCCCGTGGCGCGAATCTGCACTTACCCCCGACTGCCCCCAGCCCTGACGACTCGGGGCTCGGCAACAAGCACAGACGCCGATCCCGGGCCCACAGTCGGCCCGGCGCAGGCGTGCAGGCTGGCGTGTCGCTGGTGCCCCCCCCCCCCCCCCCGGGCTCCGCAGTTGCCGCTCTCGATGCACACCTGCTTGCAGGCCTCCAAGTTGTCCTCGGGCATGGAGCAAGCGGGCCGCGGACGAAACGCGTACGTCCTGAACTCCGCGGGCACTCCCCAGGGCTGGCTGCTCCAGGGTCGCGGTTCGTCCGTCCCCGGGGCCCACGGAAGGCGCAGGGAGGCTCCCGAAGGGCGAAACACTTGACGACACCAAGCTCTCAGGACACCACCCCGTCACGGCGAGTCCTGCACCAAAGATGCGACGTGCGGAACTGATCGAGACGGAATCTCCGATTTGGACGCCCGAAATGGGTACAGAGAGAATGGGCACAATGCCCAACAACAAATGTTGTCCTACACCCACAGCGGCCGCTGTTGGTCAGGCGGCCTTCTGTCTCGAATGGACACAGGCCGCAGCGGGGTGGACAGCAAATCCAATTCAAAATGAGTAGGGTCCGCTGTCGGGCACTGTACCCATTCTTTCCGTGCCCAGTTCGTTCGTGCAGATCCGAAGTCCCGCCCCTTCCCCCCGGGGCCGGCTTTACATCCCGAGCCGTTCTTCGACGAGAGTTGGGGCCCAGTGAGGGCCCGCCAGAGGCCGAAGACAGCGAAACATCTCTCCGCACTGAACACTTCAGTGCGTTGGAGGTGCTGCCAGGCTCTTTTTGCCTTAAACCAATATTTGGCGACGGTGGATACAAAATACTGGAAGTGGTGATATGCATGTTGGCGACTACGCCTTTGGTTAACCACTGAGTACCCCCGGTGCGCTACCGAGATTCGGCAGGCGGCTGGCATAATCATCGCTCAACAGCGAAAACCACTGCTCCGCATCATGACTTGATCTGGCGGAGGCGTCGTAAACAGCTGCCCAACTGAGTAAACGAAGCCCAACAGCTCAAATACAGACCCTCACCCCGTCCAGACCCCGCGCGGTCCTGCCAGCTCAGGAAGGTAAGGCAGAGGAGCACGGGGCGATCTAGGCTGTGTAAGGGTTTGCCTCAGGAGAGAGAGGTCCATTACCAGCCCTTGGAAACACTCCCTCCTTTTTTGGACCAGTCGAGGCCTCCTGCCCCCCCAGAACTAGGAGCAACCATGCATCGAGGAATGTGCCCAGCTGCGGGGCCGAAACAGGCTGCGTGCAGCAGGTGCCGTCCCTGCACCAGCCTAAGTATTCGACCACGGGCCCCTTGCTACCATTCTGCCTCGGGCGGTCCTCCGCGGTCTTCCAGCGATCTTCGGCGGTTTCCCGCCGTCGTCGGCGGTCTTCTGCGTGGAAGCTAGACGCTTGCGTTTCACACGGGGTGCATGATCGAACACCTATCGGCGGCGAGCCCAGGGGGGGAGTGAGAGGGGGCAAGCCTTCTCAGAAGGCTCTGAGGTCCCCCGGCCTTCTGAGAAGTTCTCTGAGCCTTCCCCCAAGACGCAGACAACCTCTCAGAAAGCGCCAGGGCCTCTGCGAAGTCCCGCCGCCTTCTTGAGAAGGCCTCCTCCTTTTCACCTCCCCCCTGGGCGCGCCGCCGAATTTGGCTTGGGGGCCATAACTCGGGTCTCTGGCGGCCTTTCGGGACCATCCGGGCACCCCCCCGGAACGCCCTCGGCGAGGCGCAGCTGCTGGCACAGCATCCTGAAACCTGAGAAGCGCCGAGCACCGACGAGAACGTCCAAGGACCTCGAACCCGGAACCCCGATCCCCACGAAATCCCCCCCCGCGCTCGCCGCCGAAAGGCCTTCCCCTTCTCACCCCCCCCCGCCCGCCGCCGCAGGATCGAGCACATCTCGGCGGTGGACAAACCTCCCTTTGGTAAACCTCCCTGTAGTGAAAACGACCCAGGACCGAAACCGACGGACCTGGGCCCGCAAAAAGGACGGCCGCGACGCCTTCTCGCGAACCGACACCAGCCAGTTCGCTAATCGACGCGTCAGGGTAGGAGGTCTATCGGGAGCGGCCAAGAGGGGGGTGTCCAAGAGGGAGGGGTGCAAATCATGACCGGCGGCACGTGCGCGGCCCAGCGGGGGGGCCAGGGACGTACTGAAATAAGAGGCGGCGCCATGAGATCTGGGGAGAAGTCCTGGCCCGCGCCCCGAAATCCACCCCCCCCCCTGGTCACCTCCCCCCTCTCTGCCGCCCCCGAGAGCCGATCCACCTCCGGACACCACACCGGGCACGACGTCGGCCGCGGCGTCTGCCCCCCGCGCCGCGCCGCGCGCCGCCCGCGGGCCCCCCGGGCCCGCAGGCCGAGCCGCCTCCCGAGGGGGGCGGCTTTTTCTCGGCCTCCGGGGGCGCCCGCGCGCTGCGGGGCCGAGAGCCGCCCCCGTCGGGGCGCGCGGGCCGCACCCGCCTCGGCGGCGAGGGGGCTCGGGCCACCCGCCGCGGGCTGCGAGTGCAGCCGGTCTGCATGCGAAGGATGCGCCAGAAGGGTGCATGGGCGTCGGGCCCCCCATGGCTTGAGCAGGGACCGGCCGCCCCGGCATTCCTATAGTCCTACCACGGAATGTTCTTAGAACCCCAAACATGTTCCCATAACAAAAACAATGTTCTTGGAACATAAACCCGATGCGACAAAAGAAGACAGATCGTCAGAAATGTTCTAAGAACATTTCGTGGAAACCACGCAAGGTTCTTAGAACATTGTTTGGTAGGGCTATAGGCGAGCCAGGACGCTTCGCCACTACAAGGCTTTTCGAGCCAGGTAGGGCTATAGGCGAGCCAGGCTATAGCAAAGCTTTTCCAACGGGGCACGGACAAGGCCGGGCCGAGGAGGCGAGGATGCAAGGTGTACCCTTGGGAAGGTTGCCCATCCTTCCTCGGCGGGTCGACTGCAGCGGCGAGGGTAGGGATGCCCTCGGCCTTGAGGGCGGGCACTTCGAGAGAGCCAAGGGGGGCATCTCCTCTTCCTCATCATCCTCTTCCTCTGCCTCCTCTTCCTCCTCCTCCTCCTCCTCCTCCTCCTCCTCCTCCTCCTCCTCCTCCTCCTCCTCCCCCTGCTCCTCCTCCTCCTCCTTCTCCTCCTCCTCCTCCGCCTGATCCTCCTCCCCCTGCTCCTCCTCCTCCTCCGCCTGATCCTCCTCGATCCTCCTCTCCTCCTCCTCCTGTTCCTCCTCCCCTCCCCCACCCCCTCCCACTCCCCCCTCCCTCCTCCCTCATCCACCTCCTACTCCTCCTCCTCCTCCCTCCTCCTCTTCCTCCTCCTCCGCCTATTCCTCCTCCTCAGCCTGATCCTCCTCCTCCTCCTATTCCGCTCCTCCTCCTCCTCCTCCTGCCCCTGTTCCTCCCCCTCTTCCTCCCCCTCTTCCTCCTCCTCTCCCTCCTCCTCCTTGCGAGTTGAGGCACTGGAAGCTCAAGATCGGCTCAGAATCGGTCCCCAGACCCGTCCTGGGGTCCGAACGCACTAGTTGTCCGAGCTGCGTCGAGCAGTGGGGTCGAGGGCCCCCCCCACGGCCAACTGCCAGTACCTCAAACAGCCCTCCGCTGATCCTCCTGATCCTTCTGCTGGCTATCCTCCTCCCGATGCTCCTCCGTCAAGAGTCGAGCTCCCGAGACCTCCTGCGACAGACGAGAGACGCGCGCCCTCTAGGCCGCACCTTCATCTCTACGTGCACTTCGTCCCCCGCCTGCTCTTCATCCTTCCTCCTGCTCCGCCCTCCTTCTCCTTCTCCTCCTCCTCCTCATCATCATCATCATCATCCCCCATTCCCTTTCCTTGTAGATCACTCCGCACTGTCACACCCAGAGGCTGGTCGATAGGGCGGGCCCGGCGTTTCGCCAAAGCCTTTCTCACAATTGGTGGCCCTGATGCTTATCAGTTGACAGCAGCTTCACAAATGGAGGGAGGGTGGCTTTCAAAATGAGGCTCTCGACGCCGCGCCGTGCACATTCGTTTTTAGAAATGTGCAAGATCTTGACGGATTGAGGGCGAGTGGTTTCAAAATGTGGTTCTCACCTGAGCGCTGCGCACATTCGCTGAACATTGCAAGATCTTCACGGATTGAGGGCGAGTGGTTTTCAAAATGTGGCTCTCGCCGTAGCGCCGCGCACATTGGCTTTCAACAATATGCAAGAGTGTCACGGATTGAAGGCGGTTCCTTCCCAACGTGTGGCTCTAGCACGCTCTCATTTGACTAACGTACCAGGAACGCTGTTCTGGCACGGTTCAGGTTCGCCGATACGTGACAGTCAGGGTAACTCGTGGCGTTGAAGTCCTGAGGATGGTTTTCGGGAACGCCTCAAGATTTTCACTCGGTTGTCCCCCAACGGGGCAATTCCCAAAGTGGAAATGACACCTTGTAGGGGCCTGTGAAGAGGGATCTTGGAGGGAGGCTGTATTTCAGCATCGTTGATGAGTCTTGGATTTGCACGGTTTCGCTGGTCCTTCTTCCTCCCCCTCCTCTCGCATATAAAGAGGATAAACAAATAAACTACGTTCGACGATCCACACGGATGTCTCGGATCTGCGCTAGACCCCCTGGCAGCGCTTCCAGCGCCGCCCCTGGTGCGCTCCGCACGCCACGGAGGGGGCTCCAGCGCAGATCCAATAACTCCACGCGGACCGTCGAATGCTTAGGCTTATCCAGCTTCTTATTCTTGGCGGCGCGCACAAGGGGGGGGAGGGAGGGGGGAAGGCTTCTTAGAAAGAGGCTGCTTCTTAGAAGCCGCCGGCCTTGCATCTGTCGTACAGGCCCACGTCTTCTGAGAAGCAGGGGTGCTTCTACGAAGCCTTCCCCCCTCCCCTCCCGCTCTGCGCGTGCCGAGACAAACAACCCGTATCATAAGGATGCGCGATAAGGATGCAGGGGCCTTGGACACCCACTTCGAAGCTTCTCGAGCTGGGCGCGGCCAGCGAGAGTGACCGAGGGTGGACCGAGGAGGCGAGGATGCAGGGGGGGCACGGTTGCCCGTCCTTGCCGTTCGGGTTGACTCTGCTCCCCGATCCTCCTCCTTCTCTCGGGTCGGGCGAAAGGGGGGGATAGCAAAGGGGGGGTTTGAGAATCAGCTCACGTAGCTGATTTTCCCGGCGCCTCCCGGCGCCGGATGGAGCTATGTATCGAGGAATGGGCCCCTCGGTGGGGCCGAAACCAGCTGCATGCAGCAAATTTCGTACCCCCCCCTTTCCCAATCCCCCCCTTTCGCCCGGCCCGAGTCTCCCGTTCCGAAGCCCTCGATCGGAGAGAGAGACACCTCCCGCAGAGCGGCAGGCCCCGCGCGAGGGGGCGCCCGAGGGTCGGGAGCGGCCAAGAGGGGGGAAAGCGTCCAAGAGGGGGGGGGTGCAAAGCATGGCCGGCGGCGTGTGCGCCGCCCGGCGGGGGGGCCCGGGACGCAATGCAACACGAGGAGGCGCCATGAGATCTGGGGAAAGGTCATGGCCCCCGCCATGATATCCCCCCCCCCCTCTTGTCATCCCCCCCTCGCCGCCCCCGAGGAGGCCCCGGCCCCGGCCGGGAGGTCCTGGCCGGGCCCGTGCAGCTTGAAGCCCATCCAGAGGTCCGGAGGAGAAGCCGGCGGAGCAGCAGCCGGACATCCCCTACAGTTTCTCTCCCCCCCCCTCCTCTTCTTCCTCCTCCTCATCATCCTCCTCCTCTTCCTCCTCGTCCTCCTCCTCCTCGTCATCCTCCTCCTCCTCCTCCCCCTCCTCCTCCTCCTCCTTCTCCTCATCCTCCTCCTGCTCCTCCTCGTCCTCCTCTTCCTCCTCCTCCTCCTCCTCCTCCTCCATGCAGGGGCCTTGGAAGGCCGTTTCGAAGCTTCTCGAGTTGGGCGCGGCCAACGAAAGTCACCAAGGATGGACCGAGGAGGCAAGGATGCAAGGGTGCCCTTGGGATGGCTGCCCGTCCTTCCTATGCGGGTTGACTGTAGGACTCAGCAGCCTCCAGCTGACAGCGGAGGCAGGTCCACAAGAAACCGTCCACGAGAGACCCAAGCCTGGGAACCCCATGGCGTGCATCGATTTCTGGTGTGGGGATGTCGCGCTCCCCGTCGCAGAACCATCGAAACCCGAGAAACCCAGGGCACGCTGTAGGCAAGCAGGGTGTTTCTTGGCATGGGTCTCCACTGTATCCCTGTCCCTCAGATTGGCGAACCCACAGGTGGTGGTAATCTTAGGATGCACCCTTGGAAGCTGAGGGAATCCTTGAGATCGGCCTCGGGAGAAGCTGATGCCGATCATGGGGATAAGGTATGTCTCGGGCTGGTAAAACACGAGGAAGAAAGGAGGGAGGAAGGAGGTTAGCGCAAAGGAAACGTAAGACCAAGGTGAGATGATGAGGGCACATTCGGATGGGGACAAATCGGGGTCTCGAGGAGAATATCGGGCGCCGCGGCCCGCAAAGGGCGCTCCAGGACGGTGTGAGAGCGCTCCGGAACGCTATGACAGCGACGAATCCTCGTCCCATGCCCTCCCTATAGGTCACCCCACTTCGCGCATCGCGCCCTCGAGCCTGCACACCGCCCACTCTCACAAAGGGGAACCGCTCTGGCACAAGCCGCGATGCGCGGAGCGCGATTCCGCTTCGCGACTCCCTGCAGGTGACCCGGCTTCCTGATGAGAGGCCTCCGCATCGCCAGTGCATCGCCGATGCATCGGCGATGCATCCGCGACGCATCGGCGACGTCGGCGTGGGGAAACACGGGCTCCTCATCGAGCCGCATCGGCGAAGCATCGGCAATGCGGCGCGATCCTCCGACCCCATCTACTCGCACCCCATCTGCAAGGGCTCCCAACTTCGCGCTGCGCAAAGCGCGAAGTGCGGATAACTTCGCGCTCTCGCGCCGCCTCCCATCGGGGGCGGCAAAGAGGGAGGCGTCCAAGAGGGGGGGTGCAAAGTATGGACGGCGGCATGTGCGCGGCCCAGAGGGGGGGGGCCGGGGACGTATTGAAATAAGAGGGCGCGCCATGAAATCTGGGGAACAATCATGGCCCCCGCCATGATATCCCCCCCCTTGTCACCAACCCCCTCTTTGCCGCCCCCGATCCCAGGTGATAAAGAGGAAGATGAGGAGGAATCGGAGGGCTTCTCAAAGGCCGGAGGGATTCTAAGACGCCCCGCCGCCTGCTGAGAAGGCTTGTCCCCCCTCGCTTCCACCCTCGGCACGCCACCGGTGGAAGACAGGAACGCCTGCATACCATCATGGGCCCGTTTCCACCACCACCATAAGTCGGAGGGGGAGGGGGTCCTCCTTCTCCTCCTTCTCCTCCTTCTCCTCCTCTTCGTCATCATCCTCCTCGTCGTCCTCCTTCCCCTCTCTAGCTTATGGTGGTGGTGGTGGTGGGAAACAGGCCCATCATATCATAAGCTGTCGGAGGTACGCGCTGAGTTCTCGGATCAACGCTGACACCCCTAGGCGCCTGGCGCACTCAAATCGTCAGGGAGGGAGGTCGAACGCCGATCCAAAATATCCACGCGGACCTGCGCGAACGATGATACTGTGTTGATAGCTTCCGTGCGGATCTTCGAGCGCTTAACTTTCGAGGCTGGTCTGGAGGAGTGCCACCGACTTCTCTCTGCTGGCCCTCTTCCGAGATGTACTTCTTGGTGTCGGCGAAGTTGATGGGCAAGCTTTCCATCAACACTACGGTATGTAGGTCGGGGGAGAATGGACGATGACGAGGTCCTCCTCCCTCTCCTCCTGCTCCTCCTCCTCCTCCTCCTCCTCCTCCTCCTCCTCCTCCTCATCCTCTCTCCTCCTCCTCATCCTCCCTCTCCTACATATGGTGGTGGTGGTGGAAAATGGGCCCATCAGAAGTTGCAGCACCCCGAGCCCAGGTCGGTCCACTCCTGCGGAGGGGGGGGGGCGGGCGGCACTCGCAGTGCGCGGCCTCCTCCTCGTCGTCGTGGGCCGCCGCCGCCGCCGCCGCCGGGGGGCACGTTGTCGACAACGTCGGGAGCGGAAGAGTACGTCAAAGAACTTTCGGGTGCGCCTAGACTGAGGCTCCAACGAGGCCCCGCACGCCCGAGGAGGCCATGCAGCGGCCTCCCGGAGACCCTACGAAGCGTCTGTCGGCGAACTTGGCAGCACCCAGAGCCCAGGTCGGCCCGAGGGGGGGGGGGGGGCGCGGCGCAGGGCGGCGCTCGCAGTGCACGGCCTCCTCGTCGTCGCCGTGGGCCGCCGCCGCCGCCGCGTTCGTCAGCGGGCACGTCGTCAACAACATCGGGAGAGGAAGAGTACGGCCAGGAAGGTTCGGGCGCGCCTAGGCTTAGGTCGGGCATGTCCCCCTATAAACGAATCTTGGACGACAAATAAACAATAGTCGAGCAATAAGCATCAAACATAATCGAAAATAGGAGAAACATCGTCCCGAGACTATGTTCTTTACTATTTCTTAGTATTCCTCCTGTAGAGGGACACGCCCGACTTAAGCCTCACTGAGGCTCCCAAGAGGCCCAGCACACCCGAGGAGGCCATTAAGTGGCCTCCTAGAGACCCTGAAAAGCGCCTCCAAGATCCCCAGGCTAGCACGACACCCTATCACAGAAAGCCGAGTGTTCTCAGCCATTCTCAAGCGAGGCCTCCCGAGGAACAGTCTGATATGCCTATCCTCCTTCCGGCTGCAACGATAGAGGCGTAGCCCAACGGGGGAGTCCTACATGCAATCATCCAAAAGGCGCATGGAGGCGAACGGACACCCGTTGATGCCCGCTCCTGGGCTATTCGCCGCCTCCGATCCTCCTATGTAGCTCTAGAAATAAATATAACTGCATGCGCAGAAACATGAACGTTCGGAGGTCCGCGCGGACTTACGGCGGCGCGCTCAAGGGCGTTGAGGGAGGGGGAGGGCTTCTTAGAAGGAGGCTGCTTCTTAGAAGGCGCCGGCCCTATCTCCAAGCGGCTTCGCGGTGGCCGTCTGCTCACATTGGGAGTGGCGAGTGTCGCGGACGCCAGACGAAGGTGAGCATGAGGATGAGAATGGTGATGGAAATGAGGGCGAGTATGAGATTAGGAGGGGCAGGATGGGGATGAGAATGAGGCACGGGATGAACATGAAGATGAGGATGAGAAAGCGAGGGCGCATGGAGCGGACGATGAGGAGGATGAAACTGAGGACGAGGATACGGAGGATGACGATTATTAGGCTCTGCCTGCTTGCGCCTTATCCGCCAGCTGCACTCGGGCTTGGGATTCGGGTGCGACTAATTGCCCAAAGCGGTTTTGGCCCGGAGTGCGTCAACGTGAATGCTCAAGTCCACGGGCCGTCGAGGGCTTCCAAGGGATGTGGCGAGAGGCATTGGCATCGGGATGTGGCGAGTGGGGAAGCGAAGTGAATGCGGAGCAAAAAAAAGGGGGGAAGACGACAAAACGGAAGACGGAATGAGAGGATGTGAACGAGGAAGTTGACGACGAAGAGGAGGAGGAGGAGAAGGGTGAGGAAGCGGAGGAAACGAAGATAATCATAATAGCAAATGTGTGCGAAAGAATTGGCCTTCTTGGGCCGTTCCGGGGCTTTCTTGAAACATAGCTGGACTATGTACTATATAAGACACCTCTTGACATTTTCTCGGGCCATCCTGGGTAACTCGTGGAATGTCCTGGAAGCTGCTTGGTCCACCATGACCCTTCCGTGTCCGTCTCCAGCGCCCCATGGGTGGGGCTATGTTTTGGATGCGTTGTTTCCCCTCTCGGGAGCCCTGGGCCCCTCCTCATCCTCCTCATCATCTTCCTCATCGTCCATCCTTCGTCCTCCGTCTTCCGCACTCTGTCCCTATCCTCATCCTCATCCTGGTCCTCATCCTCCACCGTCCATCCTTCATTCTGCCCATTTTCCTGCTCGTCCTCATCCTACTGGTCCTCATTATGGTCCTCATCTTCATCCGAATCCGCGTCGTCCTCATCGTCGCCATCTCCGTCCTCCTACGAATCCTCGTCCTCAGTATCATCCTTCTTATCATCCCAATCCTCACCCCCGCCTTCATCCTCGTACTCCTACTCGCACGAGGCCCAGGCAAGCAAGTCTCTGCGCGCATCCCCTCACTCTTTCCGCGAAAGAGGCGGGGTGAACGGAGCATCGGGAGGAGATACAAGAGCTGGGCGACGGGCACCATGCAACGCGCCAGAAAGCCGCACACCTCCAGACGTGGCACCCCTCGGCGCGGCACCGCGCGGCACGGCAACGTGCGGCACAGCGCCACGGTGGCCCGGCGCCGCGCCGCGAAGGACCGCGCGGCACTGCACCGAGCAGCGCAAGACCAGCGTGACACCGCACTGCGCCGCTCCGCGGTGCGGCACGGCGTGGCACGGCACCGCATGACAGAACCCTACGCGACCCCACGGCACGGCACCGCGGCACCGCGCGGCACTGCGCCGAGGAGAGCGGCGCGGTAGGGCGGCACGGCACGGCCAGGACCTCCGACGCGCCAACGCGCCTGCACTCAGCCCGACGCCCCTGCCGCTTCCCCACGCCTGCCTCGCGATCCCCGACCCCGTGACCCCACACCCGACGGCCCTCAGGACGGCCCCCACGACCCCCCGCCCGGCCCAACGGCCCCCGAGGCGTGCGGGGGCCCACTTCTCGGACGACAAACGCACGCCACCTCTGAGAGGTTACGGAGCAGCTGCTCAGAGAC